GCCAATTTACAATTACAATTCTACTATGCATAAAAATTCGAAACGTTAATGGGAATGGCCTAAAGACACTTCAGTCAGTAGCACCGCCTCGGAGCGTTATTAACAGTTTTAGCACTTGCAACACAATAAGGTCATATAAGTGTCGAAGAATAGAAGTATTACAAGAGAGTAACAAACATAAAAAAGGAGGAGAGATGAAGACGATAAATGTTTGATAAGAAAGAAGGAGAAAACCACACTAGAGCACCCGCCAACCACCTACACCACTTAAGTGTGGGGAAAAGTACGACAGATAGAAAGAAGTAACAGAGGGAAAGAAAAGAAGTAGGACCTTTAGTTTTGGTAAGAGTTTTACCGCACTTACAACACAATAAGGTCATAAGGGCCGAAGATTAGAGGTGTTACAAGAGAGTACCAAACACAAAAAAGGAGGAGAGATTTAAGGAAGATAGATGTTTGATAGGAAAGAAGGAGCAAACCATAGCAGAGACTAGTGGCGCTGTTCAATCACTCACGATGAAAAGTTAATGAACATGAACACATAGCCAATAATACAAAAATAACATACAGTATGTGAGATATATTCCACACAGCAAATTTATTCAATATATTTTTCAGCTTCCCGGAAAAAGGAGCTCTTTACACAGCTCTGACACGTCCAGTTTTGCATAAAGACAGGTAAACTGACATACCTAATACGTATCATTGACAGTTCTGAGAGTCTTTTTATATCTTCAATCAAGCCTCTGTCACTGGTCACAAACTTTTCCTTCAAACAAACAAACTAAAGAATGTTCTGAGGGGTCAACAATAAGGTCAGAGGTAAGTCATTATATGAGGTCTTAGAGTCAACAACGAGGGGTCAACAATGAGGTCAGAGGTAAGTCATTATATGAGGTCTTAGAGTCAACAACGAGGGGTCAACAATGAGGTCAGAGGTAAGTCATTATATGAGGTCTTAGAGTCAACAACGAGGGGTCAACAATGAGGTCAGAGGTAAGTCATTATATGAGGTCTTAGAGTCAACAACGAGGGGTCAACAATGAGGTCAGAGGTAAGTCATTATATGAGGTCTTAGAGTCAACAACGAGGGGTCGACAATGAGGTCAGAGGTAAGTCATTATATCAGGTCTTAGAGTCAACAACGAGGGGTCAACAATGAGGTCAGAGGTAAGTCATTATATCAGGTCTTAGAGTCAACAACGAGGGGTCTGGGTAAATTCAAGGCACGAGTCCTAAAGGGTTTACAACATGGGGTTGGAATAAAGGTAAAGTTCTGTAGGGTCACAAAGAGGGGTCAGAGCTCAGTCAAGACATGACTCCTGACGGTCAATAATCAACGAAAGGTCAGACTAAAAAGTAAAAACAAAGTGGGTCAAACTAAAAGGTAAAGTTTTTAGTGTCACAAAGAGGAGTTGCAGCTAAGTCAAGACATGAGTCCTGTGGGTCAACAAAGTGGGGCAGGTTAAAGGTAAAAACAAAGCTGTCAGACTAAAGGTAAAAACAAAGCTGTCAGACTAAAGGTAAAAACAAAGCTGTCAGACTAAAGGTAAAAACAAAGCTGTCAGACTAAAGGTGAAAACAAAGCTGTCAGACTAAAGGTGAAAACAAAGCTGTCAGACTAAAGGTAAAGTTCTGTATGATCACCAAGAGGGGTTGGAGTTAAGATAAGATAAGATAAGATAAGATAAGATAAGACATGATGAGATAAGATAAGATAAGATTAGACTGTTGTCCCAGAGGGAAAGAGGGACATTTTTCTTGACTGTACAGGACCGTAAAAACACATGCAGGTATACATAAAAATTAAATTATATATTACTCTCATTAAAATTCAATATGAAAAGAAAAGTAAAGCTGACAGTACATATATCACATCAAATGCATTATTTCATCCAACCACATGCAAGACCTTTACAGTGATATATACAGATAAATACTCGAAAAGCAATTCACATTGATATTTATTCTAACAATAGTTTTATTCTAGATGGTAAGACACTTCTTTTGTATCTTTCTTTCTTTGTTTTTAGAAGTACATATCTGCCGCTGCGTGTTCTTACAATTTGTGTGGAAAGGGAATGCGAAGGGTCGTTTATAATGCAGTTTATCTTTTTTTATACTTGCGATCTTATACATTTCATCAATTCTAGTAAAATCGTATCCAGAGATCTTGCTGGCTTTCTTAATGGTTCTGTCAAATGTTTTTTTACCTTTCACCCTGAGTCAAAACAAGAGTCTTGAGGGTAAATAATATGGGGTCGGACTAAAGGTCAAGTTTTGTAGGGTCACCAAGAGAGGACGGACTAAAGGTCAAGACATGAGTCCTGAGGGTCATCAACGTAGGGTCGGAGTAAAGGTAAAAACAACATGTGGTCAGACTAAGGGGAAAAACAATATGGGTCAGACTAAGGGGAAAAACAACATGGGGTCAGACTAAGGGGGTCAGACTAAGGGGAAAAACAACATGTGGTCAGACTAAGGGGGTCAGACTAAGGGGAAAAACAACATGTGGTCAGACTAAGGGGGTCAGACTAAGGGGAAAAACAACATGTGGTCAGACTAAGGGGAAAAACAACATGTGGTCAGACTAAGGGGAAAAACAACATGGGTCAGACTAAGGGGAAAAACAACATGGGTCAGACTAAGGGGAAAAACAACATGGGTCAGACTAAGGGGAAAAACAACATGGGTCAGACTAAGGGGAAAAACAACATGGGTCAGACTAAGGGGAAAAACAACATGGGTCAGACTAAGGGGAAAAACAACATGTGGTCAGACTAAGGGGAAAAACAACATGGGTCAGACTAAGGTGAAAAACAACATGGGTCAGACTAAGGGGAAAAACAACATGTGGTCAGACTAAGGGGAAAAACAACATGGGTCAGACTAAGGGGAAAAACAACATGTGGTCAGACTAAGGGGAAAAACAACATGGGTCAGACTAAGGGGAAAAACAACATGGGTCAGACTAAAGATCAAGTTTTGTTGGGTCACCAAGAGAGGATTGATTGATTGATTGGGTAGATGTTTTACGGCACTATCGACACAATTTTGTTGACATGAGTCCTGACAGTCAACAACACGGGGTCGTAAAAATAAACGTGGGGTCGGAGTGAATGTTTAGTTCTTTAGGGTCACCAAGAGGGGTCAGAGTAAAGACATGAGTCATGAGGGTCAATATCGTGGGGTCGGACTTAAGGTCAAGACACGAGTTGTGAGGGTCAATATCGTGGGGTCGGACTAAAGGTCAAGACATGAGTCGTGATGGTCAATATCGTGGGGTCGGTCTAAAGGTCAAGACATGAGTCGTGAGGGTCAATATCGTGGGGTCGGACTAAAGGTCAAGACATGAGTCGTGATGGTCAATATCGTGGAGTCGGTCTAAAGGTCAAGACATGAGTCGTGAGGGTCAATATCGTGGGGTCGGACTAAAGGTCAAGACATGAGTCGTGAGGGTCAATATCGTGGGGTTGGACTAAAGGTCAAGACATGAGTCATGAGGGTCAATATCGTGGGGTCGGACTAAAGGTCAAGACGTGAGTCGTGAGGGTCAATATCGTGAGAGTCAATAGTAGTAGTAGTACAGGGTTTTACGGCGCTCGCAACTGCGTAAGGTCATATAAGCATGTAGCATTCGCAACAGTTTACTGCACGGTTGGTCGACTATTAGACTTTAAAATGCTAAAATATTAAAATTCAGTGTAAATATATTTGCTATTTAAAACAACTCTTATAAATAACAATAAAATTTTTTTAACAATATTGCTTCACTTTACAATTTGCCATAAAGGCCAATGGCCTTCACAAAATTCAAAATTCTGCTGGGAACAACGACGGAAAAAATGTCTTGCAATTTCTTGCATTTATAATATTTCCTTCGGATCTCTCCAAATGTCAAGACATGAGTCGTGAGTGTCAATATCGTGGGGTCGGACTAAAGGTCAAGACATGAGTCGTGAGGGTTAATATCGTGGGGTTGAACTAAAGGTAAACTTCTAAATGATCAACAATTAGAAGTTGGAGCTATGTCGATAAACCCCACTAAATGGTCACCAAGAGGGGTCGGAGCTAAGTCAAAGAGCCCTGAAGGGTTATAACATAGGGGCGGAGTAAAGTTCTTGCAATTTATTTGTTAGAAATGACTTGCAGCATTAGAAAATGCTGTCAATTTTTATCAAATCAGTGGACTTCAGACTTTTCTCAATAACAAACTTCTGGTCAAGAAAATACTGGTGGTATCAGAACGTTTACCACAGAAGGTCAAAGGCCAAACTAACAGCAGGCAGTGCTTGTTTATTTGTTAATGATCAAGTGAGTAAACATACTGACAGAACCAACAAACTGCAAGGAACATTTCAGAATACTAAATCCTCTCCAACAACCTCACACCCAAGGTTAAAATTAGCAGACAGCTCTTCCCACCTGTTTGACCAGACAAGTGGCTAGACCTTCTGATGTCACCAAACTTTGTACTGAAAGTAAGGAACAAAATGTTTTATCGTTTTAAATCAATGACCTTGTATCTAAGTGGCTTCATAACAAAGTCTACAGCTTGACATCATACAAGGAACATTGTTTTCTTGAGACTTTACTGGCTTTTACAGCACATCAATAAAGTTCCATGCAAGAGAAATAAAACTGAATGGTCAGCTGTTAAAATTGCCCGAGGTAATTATCCGGAGGAATGAGAAGTCCATTCAAGAGTAGCTGCATGGTGGCGGGAGTCTAGATGGCTGGCAATTGGCCGTTAGTTCTTGACTGACAGATGGAAAAATTGTTCACAGTTCTGTTGACACAATTTGATCATGTTGGTACACAGTTCTGTTGACACAATTTGATCATGTTGGCACAGCACTCTCCTTTGGCTGGTTGTCCTGTGTTGGCACAGCACTCTCCTTTGGCTGGTTGTCCTGTGCAGAAGGGGGATGCTACCACCCAGGGTGAGTAGAAGACCCTTGTTGTCTGAACAGGGGATCTGCTTCTTGGCTGGCTGTCAACTGTTGGCACAGCAGCTTTCTAAGAGAAAAGAAATAAGTTAGCTGGAGTTACTAAATTTGAGCAACGAAAAGAACGTAGATGCAATAGTGGTAACTTGGCGCACATTATAAAATATGACTACTGAGAAAAAGAAAAAAAAAAGAAGGACCCTGTTTTTGTTTTTTGTAAGTGTTTTAAGGCGCTCGCACTGCATAAGGTCATATGAGTATGAGCACGTGGGACATATTAAACTTTTTCAGTTGGTAGGAAATTTAAAATTTTGCCAGAGTGACGGCCAAAGCTTACTCTTATCTATTTTAGACCACCAAGGGATCTTTAAAGAACAAAAATCTGTCAGTAATTCTTTTTTTGAAGGTTTTTCATGTGCTTTGCTTTCAATGAATAAATATCCATTTATCATGAGAAGAAGTCGAGATATTTGCAATTGAAGGAGGTGGAGTTGACTGGTTTCAGAAGTAACAGTAGCGAGAAAATGACTACCAAAGATTTAAAGTTCTTTGAAACTGCAAATTTACATTTCTTGCGCCTCTAATCAACGTTTTCCATAAAATACACACATGAAAGTGTTTTTGAATGGACATACAAAGGTTATGAGTCAAAAACAATTTTTTAAAAATCCACACAGGCTGAAAAATGTCAATTTTTCGGATTTCATTGTTTTGACGAGCGCCTGATCTTACCACTATACATCACATATTATTTCATAGACAAATACCTCCTGCCGATGGTCCGGCCGTGGTACTCCTTGGTAGTCGTCCGCATCATCCTCCACTTCAGCGGACGGGTCCTGGTGATGAAGACATGAGTCAATTAGGAATATCCTCTCCTATCTGTACAGTTTGGTTTTTTGTTTTACAAAATATAGAGTCGTTATAAAATTGTTTACTGTAGGTTTAAAAGGACAGAAGGATAATCATAAAATCTGTCTGTAAATACGTTTAATGATTTTCCTTCTTCTGCTAGAAGAAAAAAATAAACTTTTACATTGATGTCAGACACAACCGGTAATTTCCTAAACTTACTGAAATAATAAACAAATTATGTTTCAAGACAAACTTCACAGACAAATACCTCCTGCCGATGGTCCGGCCGTGGTATTGTTTGGGTAGTCGTCCCGATCGTCCTCCGCTCCAGCAGAGGGGTCCTGGTGATGAAGACATGTGTCAATTAGGAATATCCTCTTCTATCTGTACAGTTTGTTTTTTTGTTTCAGAAAATAATATAAAATTATAAAATTGTTTACTGTTGGTTTAAAAGGTCATAAGGACATTTAGAAAATTTAGAAATACACACATGAAAGTGTTTTTGAATGAACATGCAAAGGTGATAAGCCCAAAAACAAAAATAAAGATCCAGTCTGGCCAAAAATTTCCGATTTCTCAGATTTCATTATTTTGACGAGTGCCTGATCTCACCACGATGTCTCACATATTACTTCACAGACAAATACATCCTGTCGATGGTCCGGCCGGGCTTTCCCTGGTATTTCACCACAATGCCTCACACACATATATATATATATCATTAAAAATCTCGATTTCATTTTGATTACACTTAAAAAATCAAGGATCACTATTTCTGAAAATAATTGTCGGGAATATCTAAAATATTTAAAGCACACTTTGAGTGAGCAATTTTAAAGGACATTAAAAAGCAAATTACCTTCTGAGGAGGATTAACATGCATCTTAAGCGATCCTCGGGTTGGAAGTCCTTCTTCCGGTCTTGACGATCACTCGGGCAGCATACCCGTGGAAGTAACCCAAGGCAGAGAATGTCGTGAGTGGCCGGAGGTGGCAGCCAAAGCCGAGGGTGGAGATGCTGATAGAGGGGACAGTGAGAGGGGAGACAGTGCGTCTTCGCGGATGGTTCGATGCATTGTGGGGTCAAGTCCTGATGGGCTTTCGGCGTCCGTGTTAGCGGGGTCATGCAGAGAGAGCAGTTAGGTGTCACCAGTAACCACGTCTAGCATGTGCATGGAGATGAGAGCTGTCACAAAAGCCTCTGACTGGAAAAGGGCCATGGAATGTCCGACTGCCATCCTAGTCATTGACCCAATGAGTGCCCTCGAACAGGTAAAGAGACCCATCCTGTGTGCAGACTGGCTAGATTTGACGCAAAGCAGCGACTCGCAAGGGCTGAACAGATCTTGAGCAATGGTCAATAAGGAGTTTGAGGCAATGAACGTGCTGATTAGCTTGCCGGCCAGCTCATCAACACGTTCATTTTTGCCTCAAAGTCCTACATGACCAGGGCTCGGGATCCATGCTGCCTTTGTGAGTCTGCTGCTTGGCATCACCTCTAGCCAGTCTGCATACAGCATGGGTTTCTTCACCTTTTCGAGGGTGCTCATCGAGTCGGTGACAAGGATGGCAGTATGACACTCCGTCGCCTAAATCCAGTTTGAGGCTTCTGTGGTGGCCTTCAATCCATGCACGTGCTGGGCGTGGCCTGGTGGCACCAAACTGCTTTCTCTGTGTGACTCCGTTTTCACGGGCACAGAGGGCCCATCAGGATTTAACCCCACGCCGCACTGACCCATCTGTGAAGACGCTTTGTCGCCCTTCTCACGTTCTCATCTGTCAGCGTAACTACCTTGGCGATGGTTACCCCTCTGGACAGTAACGACATCACTCGCCGAGGGCTGCTTCCAGTGGACTATACCGCCCAAGTGTGTCGGTGACGCTGACCCATTCGCTGGCCTTGGGGACATCTTCCTTGCCGATCATCCACATCAGGGAGAGAGGTTTAAATGTCACAATTACACTTATAATTTAATACAAAAGCTGTGTTGGTTTATGAGAAAAGTGTATTTTTGAAAATTATACTTACAATTAAAAGTCACAGCCTATTACATTTTTGAGAAAGGCCTTAATGCAAAAAATCAGAATTATAATTAAAAGCCAGAGCCACAGGTGCAAATATTTGTAGTTTTCTAGTCACAATATAGGAAAAAAAGTTTTAAAAATCGAGACTCAGTATTGAGGAGGAGATTAAGAACACATATTGCAAAGAGAGATACCTTTTGGGGCAGATCATCTCTCATGACTCGTCGTTATAAAATTGTTTACTGTTGCTTTAAAATGTCATTAGGACATTTAGAAAAATCTGTAAGTAATTAGGTTCAATCATTTTCCTTCTTTTCCTAAAAACAAAAATTAAACTTTTCAATTGAAGTCAGACACACCCAGGTATTTTCCAAAACTTATGGAAATAATAAACAAATTATGTTTCAAGACAAACTTCACAGACAATAAATACCTCGTGACGATGGTCCGGCCGTGGTATTTCTCGGGTATTCGTCCCGATCATCCTCAGTTCCAGCGGAGGGGTCCTGGTGATGAAGACATGTGTCAATTAGGAATATCCTCTTCCATCTGTACTGTTTGTTTTTTTTGTTTCAGAAAATAAAGAGTCGTTATAAAATTGTTTACTGGAGTTTAAAAGGACAGAAGGATAATAATAAAATCTGTCTGTAAATACGTTTAATGATTTTCCTTCTTCTACTAGAAGTAAAAAATAAACTTTTACATTGATGTCAGACACACCCGGTAATTTCCTAAACTTACTGAAATAATAAACAAATTATGTTTCAAGACAAACTTCACAGACAATAAATACCTCCTGCCGATGGTCCGGCCATGGTATTGTTTGGGTAGTCCTCCCGATCATCCTCCGCTCCAGCGGAGGGGTCCTGGTGATGAAGACATTTGTCAATTAGGAATATCCTCTTCCATCTGTACAGTTTGTTTTTTTGTTTCAGAAAATTAAAAGAGTCGTTATAACATTGTTTACTATTGGTTTAAAAGATCAAAAGGAATTTAGACAAATCTGTCCGTAAATACAATTCATCATTTTCCGTTTTCAATTAAATTGAAAAAAAAGACTTTTACATTGAACTCATGTCCATGGATAGGTATTTTTCTAATTTGATTGAACTAATGGACAAATGGTTTTCCACGACATATGTATCACGACTCAGTGGAATCCGGTACTCGTCAATTTTTGGGCATATGGAATTATTGGAATCATTTTGAAGGTTTTTCATATACCTTGCTTTCGATGAATAAATATCCATTTATCATGAGAAGAAGTCGAGATATTTGCGATTGAAGGAGATGGAGTCGCCTGGTTTCAGAAGTAACAGTAGCGGGAAAATGACCGCCAAAGATTTACAGTTCTTAAAAATTGCAAATTTACATTTCTTGTGTCTGTAATCAACGTTTTCCATAAAATACACACATAAAAGTGTTTTTGAATATACATACAAAGGTGATGAGTCAAAAGAAATTATTAAAATCCAAACTGGCTGAAAAATGTCCATTTCTCGGATTCCATTATTTTGACGAGCACTTGATCTTACCACGATGCATCACATATTACTTAAACAAATACCTCCTGCCGATGGTCCGGCCGGGGCATTCCACGGTAGTCATCCCGATCATCCTCCACTCCAGCGGAGGGGTCCTGGTGATGAAGACATGAGTCAATTAGGAATATCCTCTTTTATTTGTACAGTTTTTTTTTTGTTTCAGAAAATAAAGAGAGGTTATAAAATTGTTTACTTTAGGTTTAAAAGGACAGAAGGATAATTATAAAATCTGTCTGTAAATACGTTTAATGATTTTCCTTCTTCTGCTAGAAGAAAAAAATAAACTTTTACATTGATGTCAGACACACCCAGGTAATTTCCTAAACTTACTGAAATAATAAACAAATTATGTTTCAAGACAAACTTCACAGACAATAAATACCTCCTGCCGATGGTCCGGCCATGGTATTGTTTGGGTAGTCCTCCCGATCATCCTCCGCTCCAGCGGAGGGGTCCTGGTGATGAAGACATGTGTCAATTAGGAATATCCTCTTCCATCTGTACAGTTTGTTTTTTTGTTTCAGAAAATTAAAAGAGTCGTTATAACATTGTTTACTATTGGTTTAAAAGATTAAAAGGAATTTAGAAAAATCTGTCCGTAAATACAATTGACCATTTTCTGTTTTCACCTAAATTGAAAAAAAAGACTTTTACATTGAACTCATGTCCATGGATAGGTATTTTTCTAATTTGATTGAACTAATGGACAAATGGTTTTTAACGACATATGTATCACGACTCGGTGGAATCCGGCGCTCGTCAATTTTTTGGCATATGGAGTTATTGGAATCATTTTAAAGGTTTTTCATGTGCTTTGCTTTCGATGAATAAATATCCATTTATCATGAGAAGAAGTCGAGATATTTGCGATTGAAGGAGGTGGAGTCGCCTGGTTTCAGAAGTAACAGTAGCGGGAAAATGACCGCCAAAGATTTACTGTTCTTGGAAACTGTAAATTTACATTTTTTGTGCCTCTTATCGACGTTTTCCATAAAATACACACATAAAAGTGTTTTTGAATGGACATACAAAGATAAGGAGTCAAAAAAATGTTTTTTAATCCAAACAGGCTGAAAAATGTCCATTTTTCGGATTTCATTGTTTTGACGAGCGCCTGATCTTACCACGATGCATCATATATTATTTCATAGACAAATACCTCCTGCCGATGGTCCGGCCGTGGTACTACTTGGTAGTCGTCCGCATCATCCTCCGCTCCAGCGGAGGGGTCCTGGTGATGAAGACATGTGTCAATTAGGAATATCTTCTTCTATCTGTACAGTTTTGGGTTTTTTTTGTCATAGAAAATAAAGAGTCGTTAAAAAAATTTTTGTATGTATAGTATAAGGTTTTACGGCGCTCGCAACTGCTAAGATAAAATTGTTTACTGTAGGTTTAAAAGGACAGAAGGATAATCATAAAATCTGTCTCTAAATACGTTTAATGGTTTTCCTTCTTCTACTAGAAGTAAAAAATAAACTTTTACATTGATGTCAGACACACCCGGTAATTTCCTAAACTTACTGAAATAATAAACAAATTATGTTTCAAGACAAACTTCACAGACAATAAATACCTCCTGCCGATGGTCCGGCCGTGGTATTGTTTGGGTAGTCGTCCCGGTCATCCTCCGCTTCAGCGGAGGGGTCCTGGTGATGAAGACATGAGTCAATTAGGAATATCCTCTCCTATCTGTACAGTTTGGGGGGTTTTTTGTCATAGAAAATAAAGAGTCGTTATAAAATTGTTTACTGTAGGTTTAAAAGGTCAAAAGGACATTTAGAAAAATCTGTCCGTAAATACATTTGTGAGGTGTGCTGACAAAATGAGTTACTTCTCGGATTTGAGCATTATGGAAATTGATACATCAACTTGATAGGTGAAGTTTGTACAATTTGTGAGCCTGGAATGATACAAGACACTGTAGACCTGAACAAAATTTCATCAATTGAACATCTAAAGATCTGACCCCAGTTTTGATTTTCAGCCGATATCTCCATTCTTGGATCGTGACAAGTAATTCATTCTGTCAGCACATTTCACATTTGATAATTTTCTGTTTTCACCTAAGTTTAAAAAAACCACTTTTACATTGAACTCATGTCCATGGATAGGTATTTTTCTAATTTTATTGAACTAATGGACAAATGGTTTTCAATGACATATATATCACGACTCAGTGGAATCCGGTGCTAGTCAATTTTTGGGTATATGGAGTTATTGGAATCATTTTAAAGGTTTTTCATTTGCCTTGCTTTCGATGAATAAATATCCATTTATCATGAGAAGTCGAGATATTTGCGATTGAAGGAGGTGGAGTCGCCTGGTTTCAGAAGTAACAGTAGCGGGAAAATGACCGCCAAAGATTTAAAGTTCTTGGAAACTGCAAATTTACATTTTTTGTGCCTCTTATCGACGTTTTCCATAAAATACACACATAAAAGTGTTTTTGAATGGACATACAAAGATGAGGAGTCAAAAAAATGAAAATGTTTTTTAATCCAAACAGGCTGAAAAATGTCCATTTTTCGGATTTCTTTGTTTTGACGAGCGCCTGATCTTACCACGATGCATCATATATTATTTCATAGACAAATACCTCCTGCCGATGGTCCGGCCGTGGTACTACTTGGTAGTCGTCCGCATCATCCTCTGCTCCAGCGGAGGGGTCCTGGTGATGAAGACATGTGTCAATTAGGAATATCTTCTTCTATCTGTACAGTTTTGGGTTTTTTTTGTCATAGAAAATAAAGAGTCGTTAAAAAAATTTTTGTATGTATAGTATAAGGTTTTACGGCGCTCGCAACTGCTAAGATAAAATTGTTTACTGTAGGTTTAAAAGGACAGAAGGATAATCATAAAATCTGTCTCTAAATACGTTTAATGGTTTTCCTTCTTCTACTAGAAGTAAAAAATAAACTTTTACATTGATGTCAGACACACCCGGTAATTTCCTAAACTTACTGAAATAATAAACAAATTATGTTTCAAGACAAACTTCACAGACAATAAATACCTCCTGCCGATGGTCCGGCCGTGGTATTGTTTGGGTAGTCGTCCCGGTCATCCTCCGCTTCAGCGGAGGGGTCCTGGTGATGAAGACATGAGTCAATTAGGAATATCCTCTCCTATCTGTACAGTTTGGGGGGTTTTTTGTCATAGAAAATAAAGAGTCGTTATAAAATTGTTTACTGTAGGTTTAAAAGGTCAAAAGGACATTTAGAAAAATCTGTCCGTAAATACATTTGTGAGGTGTGCTGACAAAATGAGTTACTTCTCGGATTTGAGCATTATGGAAATTGATACATCAACTTGATAGGTGAAGTTTGTACAATTTGTGAGCCTGGAATGATACAAGACACTGTAGACCTGAACAAAATTTCATCAATTGAACATCTAAAGATCTGACCCCAGTTTTGATTTTCAGCCGATATCTCCATTCTTGGATCGTGACAAGTAATTCATTCTGTCAGCACATTTCACATTTGATAATTTTCTGTTTTCACCTAAGTTTAAAAAAACCACTTTTACATTGAACTCATGTCCATGGATAGGTATTTTTCTAATTTTATTGAACTAATGGACAAATGGTTTTCAATGACATATATATCACGACTCAGTGGAATCCGGTGCTAGTCAATTTTTGGGTATATGGAGTTATTGGAATCATTTTAAAGGTTTTTCATTTGCCTTGCTTTCGATGAATAAATATCCATTTATCATGAGAAGTCGAGATATTTGCGATTGAAGGAGGTGGAGTCGCCTGGTTTCAGAAGTAACAGTAGCGGGAAAATGACCGCCAAAGATTTAAAGTTCTTGGAAACTGCAAATTTACATTTTTTGTGCCTCTTATCGACGTTTTCCATAAAATACACACATAAAAGTGTTTTTGAATGGACATACAAAGATGAGGAGTCAAAAAAATGAAAATGTTTTTTAATCCAAACAGGCTGAAAAATGTCCATTTTTCGGATTTCTTTGTTTTGACGAGCGCCTGATCTTACCACGATGCATCATATATTATTTCATAGACAAATACCTCCTGCCGATGGTCCGGCCGTGGTACTACTTGGTAGTCGTCCGCATCATCCTCTGCTCCAGCGGAGGGGTCCTGGTGATGAAGACATGTGTCAATTAGGAATATCTTCTTCTATCTGTACAGTTTTGGGTTTTTTTTTGTCATAGAAAATAAAGAGTCGTTAAAAAAATTTTTGTATGTATAGTATAAGGTTTTACGGCGCTCGCAACTGCTAAGATAAAATTGTTTACTGTAGGTTTAAAAGGACAGAAGGATAATTATAAAATCTGTCTGTAAATACGTTTAATGGTTTTCCTTCTTCTACTAGAAGTAAAAAATAAACTTTTACATTGATGTCAGACACACCCGGTAATTTCCTAAACTTACTGAAATAATAAACAAATTATGTTTCAAGACAAACTTCACAGACAATAAATACCTCCTGCCGATGGTCCGGCCGTGGTATTGTTTGGGTAGTCGTCCCGGTCATCCTCCGCTCCAGCGGAGGGGTCCTGGTGATGAAGACATGTGTCAATTAGGAATATCCTCTTCTATCTGTACAGTTTGTTTTTTTGTTTCAGAAAATCAAAAGAGTCGTTATAACATTGTTTACTATTGGTTTAAAAGATCAAAAGGAATTTAGAAAAATCTGTCCGTAAATACAATTCATCATTTTCCGTTTTCAATTAAATTGAAAAAAAAGACTTTTACATTGAACTCATGTCCATGGATAGGTATTTTTCTAATTTTATTGAACTAATGGACAAATGGTTTTCCACGACATATGTATCACGACTCAGTGGAATCCGGTACTCGTCAATTTTTGGGCATATGGAATTATTGGAATCATTTTGAAGGTTTTTCATATGCCTTGCTTTCGATGAATAAATATACATTTATCATGAGAAGAAGTCGAGATATTTGCGATTGAAGGAGATGGAGTCACCTGGTTTCAGAAGTAACAGTAGCGGGAAAATGACCGCCAAAGATTTACAGTTCTTAAAAATTGCAAATTTACATTTCTTGTGTCTGTAATCAACGTTTTCCATAAAATACACACATAAAAGTGTTTTTGAATATACATACAAAGGTGATGAGTCAAAAGAAATTATTAAAATCCAAACTGGCTGAAAAATGTCCATTTTTCAGATTTCATTATTTTGACGAGCGCCTGATCTTACCACGATGCATCACATATTACTTAAACAAATACCTCCTGCCGATGGTCCGGCCGTGGCATTCCACGGTAGTCATCCCGATCATCCTCCACTCCAGCGGAGGGGTCCTGGTGATGAAGACATGTGTCAATTAGGAATATCCTCTTTTATTTGTACAGTTTTTTTTTTGTTTCAGAAAATAAAGAGAGGTTATAAAATTGTTTACTTTAGGTTTAAAAGGACAGAAGGATAATTATAAAATCTGTCTGTAAATACGTTTAATGATTTTCCTTCTTCTGCTAGAAGACATTGATGTCAGACACACCCAGGTAATTTCCTAAACTTACTGAAATAATAAACAAATTATGTTTCAAGACAAACTTCACAGACAATAAATACCTCCTGCCGATAGTCCGGCCATGGTATTGTTTGGGTAGTCCTCCCGATCATCCTCCGCTCCAGCGGAGGGGTCCTGGTGATGAAGACATGTGTCAATTAGGAATATCCTCTTCCATCTGTACAGTTTGTTTTTTTGTTTCAGAAAATTAAAAGAGTCGTTATAACATTGTTTACTATTGGTTTAAAAGATCAAAAGGAATTTAGAAAAATCTGTCCGTAAATACAATTGACCATTTTCTGTTTTCACCTAAATTGAAAAAAAAGACTTTTACATTGAACTCATGTCCATGGATAGGTATTTTTCTAATTTGATTTAACTAATGGACAAATGGTTTTTAACGACATATGTATCACGACTCGGTGGAATCCGGCGCTCGTCAATTTTTTGGCATATGGAGTTATTGGAATCATTTTAAAGGTTTTTCATTTGCTTTGTTTTCAATGAATAAATATCCATTTATCATGAGAAGAAGTCGAGATATTTGCGATTGAAGGAGGTGGAGTCGCCTGGTTTCAGAAGTAACAGTAGCGGGAAAATGACCGCCAAAGATTTACTGTTCTTGGAAACTGTAAATTTACATTTTTTGTGCCTCTTATCGACGTTTTCCATAAAATACACACATAAAAGTGTTTTTGAATGGACATACAAAGATGAGGAGTCAAAAAAATGTTTTTTAATCCAAACATGCTGAAAAATGTCCATTTTTCGGATTTCATTGTTTTGACGAGCGCCTGATCTTACCACGATGCATCATATATTATTTCATAGACAAATACCTCCTGCCGATGGTCCGGCCGTGGTACTACTTGGTAGTCGTCCGCATCATCCTCCGCTCCAGCGGAGGGGTCCTGGTGATGAAGACATGTGTCAATTAGGAATATCCTCTTCTATCTGTACAGTTTTGGGGTTTTTTTGTCATAGAAAATAAAGAGTCGTTATAAAATTGTTTGTATGTATAGTATAAGGTTTTACGGCGCTCGCAACTGCTAAGATAAAATTGTTTACTGTAGGTTTAAAAGGACAGAAGGATAATTATAAAATCTGTCTGTAAATACGTTTAATGATTTTCCTTCTTCTACTAGAAGCAAAAAAAATAAACTTTTACATTGATGTCAGACACACCCGGTAATTTCCTAAACTTACTGAAATAATAAACAAATTATGTTTCAAGACAAACTTCACAGACAATAAATACCTCCTGCCGATGGTCCGGCCGTGGTATTGTTTGGGTAGTCGTCCCGATCATCCTCCGCTCCAGCGGAGGGTTCCTGGTGATGAAGACATGTGTCAATTAGGAATATCCTCTTCTCTCTGTACAGTTTGTTTTTTTGTTTCAGAAAATCAAAAGAGTCGTTATAACATTGTTTACTGTTGGTTTAAAAGATTAAAAGCAATTTAGAAAAATCTGTCCGTAAATACAATTCATCATTTTCTGTTTTCACCTAAATTGAAAAAAAAAGACTTTTACATTGAACTCATGTCCATGGATAGGTATTTTTCTAATTTGATTGAACTAATGGACAAATGGTTTTTAACGACATATGTATTACGACTCGGTAGAAACCGGCCCTCGTCAATTTTTTGGCATATGGAGTTATTGGAATCATTTTAAAGGTTTTTCATGTGCTTTGTTTTCAATGAATAAATATCCATTTATCGTGAGAAGAAGTCGAGATATTTGCGATTGAAGGAGGTGGGGTCGCCTGGTTTCAGAAGTAACAGTAGCTGGAAAATGACCACAAAGATTTAAAGTTCTTGGAATCTGTAAATTTACATTTCTTGTGCCCGTAATCAACGTTTTCCATAAAATACACACATAAAAGTGTTTTTGAATGGACATACAAAGGTAATGAGCTAAAAAAAATTATTAAAATCCAAACTTGCTGAAAAATGTCCATTTCTCGGATTTCATTATTTTGACGAGCACTTGATCTTACCACGATGCATCACATATTACTTAAACAAATACCTCCTGCCGATGGTCCGGCCGTGGCATTCCATGGTAGTCGTCCCGATCATCCTCCACTCCAGCGGAGGGGTCCTGGTGATGAAGACATGAGTCAATTAGGAATATCCTCTTCTAATTGTACAGTTTTTTTGTTGTTTCAGAAAATAAAGAGTCGTTATAACATTGTTTACTGTAGATTTAAAAGGACAGAAGGATAATTATAAAATCTGTCTGTAAAAACGTTTAATGATTTTCCTTCTGCTAGAAGCAAAAAATAAACTTTTACATTGATGTCAGACACACCCAGGTAATTTCCTAAACTTACTGAAATAATAAACAAATTTTGTTTCAAGACAAACTTCACAGACAATAAATACCTCCTGCCGATGGTCCGGCCGTGGTATTGCTTGGGTAGTCGTCCCGATCATCCTCCACTGGGTCCTGGTGATGAAGACATGTTTCAATTAGGAATATCCTCTTCCATCTGTTAGGTTTGGTTTTTTTTGTTTCAGAAAATAAAAAGAGTCGTTATAAAATTGTTTACTGTTGGTTTAAAAGGTCAAAAGGACATTTAGAAAATTTAGAAATACACACATGAAAGTGTTTTTGAATGAACATGCAAAGGTGATAAGCCCAAAAACAAAAATAAAGATCCAGTCTGGCCAAAAATTGCAGATTTCTCAGACTTCATTATTTTGATGAGCGCCTGATCTCACCACAATGCCTCACATATTACTTCACAGACAAATACCTCCTCTCGATTTCGTTTCGACTAGACTTAAAAAATCAAGGATCACTATTTCTGAAAACAATTGTCGGGAATATCTATAATATTTAAAGCACACTTTGAGTGAGCAAT